GTACTACGCCAGCGCGGGCTACTGCTCCGCGTCCGAGACGAGCAACTGGAGCTGTGGGGCGAACTGCGATGCGAACCCGACTTTCAAGCCCGTCGCGTCGGGAGGCGACGGGGACTCCGTCCAGTACTGTGAGTGCTTGGGCCTGTGCTGTGGATGCGTTCGGTAGTGTCTGATGGATCTTAGGGTATGTCGGATACGACCCGACCCTCGATACGGTGATCGTTTCGCATCAGGGAACTGATCCCGACGAGATGTGAGCAGTGCTGCTTTTGTTCGTCGCGGAGGTGGTATCTCACTCTGATTTCGCAGCCTTCCGTTGGTCACGGATGCGGACATTATCATGATAAACCCGGACACGACGCTCTTCCCTGGCCTCAGCTCGAGTATCGAAGTGCACCAGGGCTTCGCGGACGAGCAAGCAAAGTGCGCGATCCCATCCTATCATTTACATCGGGTTCTGTGTCTGATGGTCAATTAGAACGGCGTCGGACGTCCTCTCGGCTGTGCAGAGCGCGATATCTACATACAGCGCCACCAAGGTGACAATGGTGGGACACTCCTTGGGTGCGTTGCTCCACCCGAGTATCTGCCTGTCATAGCTGAAATGACCGCGATCAGGCGCTGCGATCTCGCTCCTTGACGCTGTCTATCTGCCTCTGCACATCTCCGACGCGGCGTTCAGCTACATCGGATACGGCCTGCCGCGAGTGCGTGCTAATCTCATCTCACCTGCCACTCCAGCCGCGTTCTTACTGTTCCAACAGGTCGGCAACCAGGCGTTCGCAAACTACGTCGACGACTCGTCTCTCTCGGTGATGCACATTAACAACGAGGAGGACCCGATCCCGATCTGCCCGGGCAGGTTCCTCGGGTTCGTGCACCCGTCGGGCGAGGTGCACATTGAGGATTCGGGCGAGTGGGCGTCGTGCCCTGGCCAGGACAACCCGAGCACGCAGTGTATCGTCGGGGATGTGCCGGACATATGGGATGGTGACGAGTCGGACCATGATGGTCCGTATGGTGGGTTGACGATGGGATGCTGAGGACGGCAAATCAAGTTGACGTTTCTACAGAAGGAGCTTGGGTGCTGTGTTC